AGGAGGTAGTGAGAAAAGCAGAAAGAGGAGATTGGGAGAAAGATTTGAGAGAGAGGTTGACTGGCTAAATGGTTTCCTATTTGGCCATCCTGGAAACACGGAGAACTGTGGAACAGCCATGTTTCCCATCTGAGAAGCAAAGAAAGATGGTTTGCAGAGAAAGAAGGAATAATGAATGGGACACACAGACTCAAGGGAAGGGGGAAAGTCCTGACCACTTGGTGGCCCCTGGCTCCACTCCCTTCCTAGGTCTTGGCTGTACCTTGCCCATGGGCTCTATGAGACATTCCTTGATCCCTAGAATCAATCCCCTCTCTTAAAAGCTTCCTTGAGTTGGTGCTTCTAATTTGCAATCAAGACTCTCTACCCATCTTATAATTCAGAGAACACAGTGAATTATGTATGATGGATGACATCTATCTCCAGGAATTTCTGGTTATGATATTTACAGGAGCTGACGTTTAGCCATATGGGTTGAATTGCACACCCTCAATAAAATTCACTGTGATGCTACAAATAGAAAAATCAGGGCATGCTAAAAGAAGATAAGCATGGGTACTTTGTTTCAATATCTTTTCAGGAACTAGCCTGTATCTGAAAACTTGATATTTAATTTTTAGTAGATGAGATACTTCTCACTCTTCCCCAAGTATTAGCCAGGCTGGTTTAAGCAGAAGTGGAATTTCCTTTTCTTGGAATCCAACTAAACTGAAGGAAAAACAGTTACACAGTTGACGATCAGGAAGAAGTATATCCAGTGTCTTGAACACCCTGAGGATCTCAGTATATTGTTTATCTTTGTACGTATGTTAGCTTCACTCTTTTATCTCCCTTCCCCTACAATGAAGAAATGAACATGGCTGCAGACATCTTTCTACCATTACAAGGCATAGCTCTGTTGGCCTACAGTCCACAGGTCCCAGTGAAGGGGTTCATTGGTTTAGTTGCATCCATTTCTGGACCAATCACTAATGGCCGGGGCAGGCTGGGAGATGTGATTGGTTCCACTTGGGTGAGGAGTCCACTTCCAGAACCAAGTAACTGTGGCAAGGGGGCCACTGGAATGAATGAATATTGCAAAAGAAGACAGTCAATTTCCAGGAGAACAGAAGATAGTAGTGGACAGATTCCCACAGAAATCCTCCTGAATGTTTAAATATACCCTCCATATGCTTCGAAATATACCCTCCATATACTTTGACCAAGATTTACTTTAGTTGCCTATTTCATTGTCCAAGAAAGTCTAGTTCTAAGTTGTCAGCAACATCCTATTAGGTATCAAAATACCCAGTGGTGTGGGCCAAGGGAGAGAGATTTTTGGGGTTTTTTTAACACCTTTATTGGAGTATAATTGCTTTACAATGGTGTGTTAGTTTCTGCTTTATAACAAAGTGAATCAATTATACATATACATATGTCCCCATATCTCTTCCCCCTCGTGTCTCCCTCCCTTCGATCCTCCCTATCCCACCCCTCTAGGTGGTCACAAAGCACCGAGCTGAACTCTCTGTGCTATGCAGCTGCTTCCCACTAGCTATCTATTTTACGTTTGGTAGTGTATATATGTCCACGCAGCTCTCTCATTTTGTCCCAGCTTACCCTTCCCCCTCCCCCTCCCAATTTTTTTTTCTTAAATTCCATATATATGTGTTAGCATACGGTATTTGTCCTTCTCTTTCTGACTTACTTCACTCTGTATGACAGACTCTAGATCTATCCACCTCATTACAAATAGCTCAATTTCGTTTCTTTTTATGGCTGAGTAATATTCCATTGTATATATGTGCCACATCTTCTTTATCCATTCATCCGACGACGGGCACTTAGGTTGTTTCCATCTCCGGGCTATTGTAAATAGAGCTGCAATGAACATTTTGGTACATGACTCTTTCTGAATTCTGGTTTCCTCAGGGTATATACCTAGTAGTGGGATTGCTGGGTCATATGGTAGTTCTATTTGTAGTTTTTTAAGGAACCTCCATACTGTTCTCCATAGTGGCTGAACCAATTCACATTCCCACCAGCAGTGCAAGAGTGTTCCCTTTTCTCCACACCCTCTCCAGCATTTATTGTTTCTAGATTTTTTGATGATGGCCATTCTGACTGGTGTGAGATGATATCTCATTGTAGTTTTGATTTGCATTTCTCTAATGATTAATGATGTTGAGCATTCTTTCATGTGTTTGTTGGCAGTCTGTATATCTTCTTTGGAGAAATGTCTATTTAGGTCTTCTGCCCATTTTTGGATTGGGTTGTTTATTTTTTTGTTATTGAGCTGCATGAGCTGCCTGTAAATTTTAGAGATTAATCCTTTGTCAGTTGATTCATTTGCAAATATTTTCTCCCATTCTGAGGGCTGTCTTTTGGTCTTGTTTATGGTTTCCTTTGCTGTGCAAAAGCTTTGAAGTTTCATTAGGTCCCATTTGTTTATTTTTGTTTTTATCTCCATTACTCTAGGAGATGGGTCAAGAAGGATCTTGCTGTGATTTATGTCATAGAGTGTTCTGCCTATGTTTTCCTCTAAGAGTTTGATAGTTTCTGGCCTTACATTTAGGTCTTTAATCCATTTTGAGCTTATTTTTGTGTATGGTGTTAGGGAGCTGTTCCACGTGTAGATGTACTTCTGATGTATCTGTGGGGAGCAAGGTGATCTCCGCGGCTTACTCTTCTGCCATCTTGAAGCTCCTCGGGAGAGTTCTTTGATCTATTGTTCAGAAATGAGCAACCTGGCGCACTATGTAACGGTTGTTCACCCACGGTCTTTTAAAAATTAAAATTAGCTTACGCAAGTTTCTAAAATTATCATGTTAAGCCTTAAAAGTAAACAAGACTACTAAAATAAAGGTGCCATGAGCTTGTTTTTGAAGTGTGTGTGTGTAAAATTTTCTTTAAGTGGCACGAATACTTATTAGTTGGGGATGTAATAGTTGCCTAAGGGCAGGGCAGGGACCAAATGACCTCTATTTTCTGGATAATCTGCTGAGGAGCTGCTGAATTTAGAGAAGTACACTGCGAAGCCTTATTGATGTTTACTCCCACATTGAGCAGGATTTTCAAACATAAGAGCCTTTTACACTACCTTTAGGCAGATACTACTTTTAGCCACGAGACTGACCCGACCATAAACTTTGAAGGTGTCCAAAAACAAGAGGCAGAACGTTTCAACACAACTGCTTGAGCACGAAATGGGATTTTCCTGCTTCTTGGAGTCTCTCTTCGGTTTCTCTTCCAGTAGAATTCCTTTCCACGTGTACAAATCCTGAGATGCTTCTTTCCATAGAAAGGAAGGCTGAACACCAAGCTCCACCCTGCGCTCATCCTCCCCCACACCCCGACCCCCCTTTTTAAATTTTGCACATAGGGTGAGCCCAGTCCTGATTACTTAGACTTCAGGGAAGGGTCCATTGTAGCCTCTTAACTAGTACCTCTCATGTTCAGCCTAGATTTTCCCATCTCTAAAACAAGAATAACTGAAATGCCCTAAGGTATGGAACTGTTTGGAGGATGGAATGAGATGGCATATGTAAAGCATGTAACATGCTTGACGCAGAGTCAGTGCTCAAGAAATGCCACTAGCACGATTACTGTTAACACAAATGGTAGAACAGTAAGAATAGGAGATAGGGGCTTCCCTGGTGGTGCAGTGGTTGAGAGTCCGCCTGCCGATGCAGGAGACGCGGGTTCGTGCCCCGGTCCGGGAGGATCCCACATGCCGCGGAGCGGCTGGGCCCGTGAGCCATGGCCGCTTAGCCTGCACCTCCGGAGCCTATGCTCCACAACGGGAGAGGCCACAACAGTGAGAGGCCCACGTACCGCAAAAAAAAAAAAAAAAGAATAGGAGATAATTCTTAGGCTCCCAATCCTCAACAGGGAGACATCCCAACCCTAGAGCAATCCCATCTACTGAGAGACTCAAACATGTAAATGAATAGTCAGCATTCAATGAACTGTCATAATAAAGGTTTACACGTGGCAAGAAGAAAGCACAAAGTGGGCAGGATGAGCTCAGCTCTTAGACAAGGGGTTTCCAGTTGAGGACTGAAGCCTGAGTAGGAGAGCTTGCTAAGTGCAGGAGAGGAGAAAGGTCATTCCACATTGAAACACTAGTGGCTACAAAGGCACTGAGGTTGGAAAGGGCCTGGGATATTCAGAGGGAGACATTCTGTATAGCTGGAAGGGGGAGCTCTGGTGGGAAAGTTGTGGGAGGTGAGGCCGATAAAGAAGGATATGGTCTGTGGATTAAGAGCCTTGAGTATCATTCTAAAGCAGTGAGATTTTGTTCTGGGGACACTGGAGGATTCTATTGAAGGATCTGGAGGCTCTGTTATGAGATGTTCATATATGAGGTTTGGAATGATGATTACATGCAGGATGGACAGGAGGCAGGGAGGGAGTGAAGCCAGGGATATACCCATTAGGAGGCTATTGTAAGATCCAGGCGTGGAAGATGAGGGGCCTGAATCAAAGCAGTAGCAGTGGTGCCGGAAACCAGTAAAGGGACCTGACCCACATTTGGGAGGCAGAATCAAGAAGCCAGGTGGCAGACGGAGTGTGGAGCGTTCTGGGGAGGAAGGAGAAATTGTGACTGGGAGGCTTCATCCATGTTAACTGCGTGGAGGCCACGTGAGGAGTCTATGCAGGTGTGTGTACTCGGCTGGAGGAATCCGATAGGCAGTAAGATTTGGAACACATCCAACCTGAAATGCAGGGGACTGGCCACGTGGAAATGCTCGACAGACAGATGGAAATGTAAGTCTGGGACTCAGAAGAAAGGTGAGGCTGGGGTTTGAGTATTGATTGGAGGATAGGAAATACATGTGCTGTGTCTAGGACACTTGCCCTGAGAAAGAAGGGTTGAGGACCCTACCAGGTGATTATCCTCATCTTCCTGAGAAGATAAAATTCTCAGTTTTATCTTTCCACGGCCCTTAATGATCAGTGCACTTCTGGTGTGGGACTTTGGCCCGGTCCCCCAGCACATGTCCCCAGAGTTTCCTTACCCTGGCTATTTGGTCTGCCATTTGGAGACGTCCATCCAGCTCTCGTCTGATCTGGGCTGCTTGCTCATCTGGATTGTCCAGCTGCACAAAAGCACAAATGTGGAGACTTTCAGTTTGGGTGACAAAAGTCAAGGAACTCATGACTTTACACCCAGACTACGCTGTGCCCCCACAGACCTATTCCACTAAAACGTAAGAATCCTGTGACACACAAATCCAGTTTGAGGGAAATCCCAAGTTAAATCGTTTTAAGGAGAATATGATGTGGTAGGCAGGCTGCTGCTAAGAAAGACATCTAAATGCACTTGAATAAGAACCACCCCGGAACTTCTAGGCAGCAGTGCTTCTAATGAGGGCCTGATGCAGCACTCCTGTTTTGGGGCCCAGCGAAGTAGTGTTTACAGGGCAGACATACAAGGAAGGAGATGGTAATATAACTGTTAGTATCGTACCGACCAGACATAGTCCGCATCCATAGCGCCTACATGGCACATATCCTGCTGCTCTCCCACCCCTGGACCGTGGATGATTAGTTAATTATTGCATCCTTTCTCTCTGAGCCCTGAGACCTTTTCAACCAGTACTCCAGATGGCTGCTACCTCTCAGTTGGTGTTGATATCTTATATACACTACTAGGTATAAAACAGATAACTAGGGGCTTCCCTGGTGGCGCAGTGGTTGAGAGTCTGCCTGCCGATGCAGGGGGCACGGGTTCGTGCCCCGGTCCGGGAGGATCCCACGTGCCGCAGAGCGGCTGGGCCCGTGAGCCATGGCCGCTGAGCCTGCGCGTCCGGAGCCTGTGCTCCACAACGGGAGAGGCCTCAACGGTGAGAGGCTTGCATACCGCAAAAAAAAAAACCCCAAAAAACAGATAACTAATGAGAACCTACTGTATAACAAAGGGAACTCTACTCAATGCTCTGTGGTGACCTAAAATGCTAAGGAAATCCAAAAAGGTGGGGATATATATATACGTATAGCTGATTCACTCTGCTGTACAGCAGAAACTAACACAACATTGTAAAGCAACTATACTCTAATAAAAATTAATTTAAAAAATTAAGCAGTAAAGTGGAAGTAGGTGCAAGCCTCCTTTTCCTAACTAATTAAATGCATGCATTAGAAACTACACAGAGTGTGCTTCAAGGGGAGGCCATCCGTAATCTGCTTGTGAAATTTGCAGTTAGATAGTTACCCACTCAGGTGATTTTTGCCACATCTACATTAAATTTGCATCTGGCTTAAAAAAAAAAAAATAAGAAATCTATCTTTGTCTTCTCTGATGGGTAGACAATTCCCTAACTTCTCTAGTGTCAGTTTTCCCATCCATAGAATGAAGGGGTTGTTTATGTAAATCTCCATCATCCCTCTCCCATCTTTCTATAAATCTATGAAAGACACTGGCAGATATTTCTACGAAGGTCCATATAACTAACACTCTAGGCTTTGAGGGCCATAGATCTCTGTTGCAGTGACTCAAATCTTCCAGTGAGGTGTGAAAATGGACACAGACTACACGTAAATGAACGAGCACTGCTGTGTTCCAATAAAATTTTATGTACAACAGGTGGCGGGCCATAGGTACTGATCCCTGCTCTAGGAATTGAAGTTCTCTCTTTACTTCCAAGCAAGCCTAGCGTTATACTTCAAGCTGTAATTGAGTCTGCTTTGTTCAGTACCTGATAAATTATTTTATTCACAGAAAAGTTTAATAAGTAGGGAACAGTGACATTCAAATGGGATGTGCTCTATTCTTCTTTTCAGAACAGATTAACTCACAACAAAAAGTAGATAAAGAAATATGTGAGTTCTCTAAGTCCCTTTCTCTTAAAAGCCATTTTTATTCAGAAATCTGAAGAGTATGGAATTTTATTCAGAAATTTGAAAATGAAAACCCAGCTCCATGCTTAAAAAAGAATCTAATCTATGCTATGAAATGGTATAGAAAATAAGTTATTTCTAATGTGATGTAAATAAGAACACTGGACAATTTACGGTCATATTTTTGAAGCATCATGAATAGTCTTCTTGGGTTTGTTATACAAAACATAAAAATCTATCTGGCTTTACGCTCTGCATTTTTATCACCCTGTTCAATTCAGGAGTTGCCTTATCTTCTCTTTCCCACAGTTTTGATGAGCAGGACTGTTTTCTAGATCATAAAGATGGGATTGTTACTTTTGGTCATATATTCTAAAGTAGCATTTCCAAATGGGTGTTCTGCTGAACAACACCCTTATTACAGACTCCAGAAGAAAGGATCCAGAAGGGCTCCAAAAGAATGGCTAGAGGGTTTCCCTGGTGGCACAGTGGTTGGGGGTCCACCTGCTGGCGCAGGGGACACGGGTTCGTGCCCCGGTCCGGGAAGATCCCACGTGCCGTGGAGCGGCTGGGCCCATGAGCCACGGCCGCTGAGCCTGCACGTCCAGAGCCTGTGCTCCGCAACGGGAGAGGCCACAGCAGTGAGAGGCCCGGGTACCGCA